ATATTATTATTTCACTATAAAAGCAATGTATATTATCACTTTTCTCAAAGCTTATGGAAAAGTGACACAATAGTAATTGAAACCCTACCTAATTTCTATCTCATTGCAAGAGACAACAAACCATAACACTTGAAGGTATTTCATTCCAAAATAATTTCCCATGAGTATGCAAAATTATAAGTTGGAATTTACCATAAATTTGTAGTACAAAACCTAAGGTGCAAGAAATACCACAACCCTTTATTGTTCTAAGCCAATTTGGCCACTTGCCAGGGTTGCTACAACTCTGGTCTTGGGCATTTTGATGCCATTCATTGGGGGAGGTGCGGGGAGAGGTGGGAAGGTAGTTGGGGAAGGTTTTATTTTTCTCTTTTTAAAAAACAGGGTCTCATTCTGTTATCCAGGTTGGAATGCAGTGGTGCAATTAGAGCTCACTGCAGCCTCCATCTCCTGGGCTCAAGTGATTCTCCTGCCTCAGCCTCCTGAGTATCTGGGACTATGGACATGTGCCACTATGCCTGGCTAATTTTTTTTTTTTTTTTTTTTTTTTAGCATTTTGTAGAGCAGAGGACTCACTTTGTTGCCCAGGCAGGTCTTGAGCTTCTGGCCTCAAGTGTCTCTCCCGCCTTCACCTCCCAAAGTGCTTGGATTACAGATGTGAACTGCTACACCCAGCCAATACTTTCTTTTTCTACCCTAAAATCATACAAAAATGTTTGGATTAATTTTGTCCAGGAGAAAGGGGAAGAATGCCTGGCTCTCGGTCCATCAGTGTTCCTCTCCTTGTCATGTCATCTTGAGCTCCACCTTTTATGCCAAGCTTTGGGATGAGCTTCCTGAGGACTTGAAGTTCCATGATCCAGAACCAGCCTCCTTAGGGCATAGATTTCTGCAGCTTTCCTCTTTCAGGATTTTGTAACATGCGGATTGTTCAGAGTGGGCTGCAGATCCCTACCATTCCTAGACCCATTCAATACCCAATTCTCCCAAACTCTGGAGAATTGACTTTCTTCCTCAATTCCATATATCCATGTAACCCACTGTGACCACTACACTCTTTGGATGATAACTCACACTTGCCCATAAGACCTCTTGCATAAGCTTTGTAATGAATTATAAAACCAGGTAATTTAACTACATCATTACCTATCTAAATTCACTTCTTCATAAATATCTATCTAAACTCACTTCTCCATATTATGGGCATTTAATAATTTGTCATTTTTTGAATGCCCTGAGCAGCATATAAATGATTACTTTAATGTATAGTTTTGTATTAATTATGTTAATCTCAACCATTTCTGAAAGCTTCCTATGATCCAGATACTATGTTAAGGTCTTACCTTTCATTTACAATGAAGAAAACTGAACTTCGGTGATTTGCCAAGGTTATAGAGCTGTGCTGTCCAACATAAATACAATGTGAGTAACATAGGTAATTTTTTTTTATCATTTTGAGACAGAGTCTCACGCTGTCACCCAGGCTGGAGTGCAGTGGTACAATCTCAGTTCACTGCAGCCTTCATTTCCCAGGTTCAGGTGATCCTTCCACCTCAACCCCCAAAGTAGCTGGGATCACAGGTATGCGCCACCACACCCGGCTCATTTTTGTGTTTTTTGTGGAGACGAGTTTCTCCATGTTGCCCCAGGCTGTTCTCAAATTCCTGGACTCAAGAATCTTTCCACCTCTGCCTCCCAAAGTGCTGGGATCAGAGGCATGAGCCACTGCACCTGGACAATTATAAATTTTGTAGAGCCACATTAAAAAATATTTTCAAAAGGTGAAATTAATTTTTAAAATATTTTAACTCAATGTAACCAAAAGATTAGCATTTCAAGATGAAAAATCAATATAAAATTGAGATGTTTTACATTGTTTGTGCCAAGTCTTCAAAATACAGTGTGTATTTTTTTCCACTTGTAGCACCTCTCAGTTTGGACTAGCCACTGTTGAAGATGAAAACGTGCCTTCAAATTGTTCTGCCTCATGGCTAGGCTAGGGGCATTTTTCAGTCTTTGATTTTGCTTCTGTATGGAGTGGAGAACGAAGACGATTGCCTAGGAATTCTAGAAGGAGAATGAAATATGTAGAAAGTATGCACTAAGGTGCTGAAATATAATATTACCTCTCCACCTCAAGTTGATGTCTGTTACTTAACACTAAGTCTTACTTAGTACATTTTTCATTGAGTGGCCTTGGGAATTCATCTTTCTCGTACACCTGATCCTTAACTCTGCTCTTGTTTTCTTCCTATGACTTATTCTGGCAAAAAAGTTGATCTTTCGCAACAATTGCAGAGTCTAAGGCCTGACAGGGTCCTAGAAGTGTTTGCAGTTGGGGATCATTGGTTTCTCCTACCAGTGCTTTCGAAATACAGACTAAGAGAAGCCTCAAGGAGGAAAGTGCCCAGAAACCATGGCAGCATCTGAACTGCATCACTCACCTGTTGAGACTGGTAAGAAGCCATGATATGGAGACAGGAAGTGCCCATTTGGGCCTAGGTGGGTGAGAGGGGAACTAAATGTGGAAGGTGAGAGAAAGCTGCTGTCTCAGGAAGGTATTGCTGCAGCTTTCACTGATGTTCATGGATGTATGTTCAGGCCACATGGAGGTGATTAAAGCCTGGTAGGCTCAATAAGGCCTCACTTAGCCGGTGAGGTTGCCTCAGAGAGGGGCCTCAGCTATTTAAAGCTGCATTCCTTCAAGTAATTGTGTTGAGCGCAGAGGCATTATTTTATTTTATTTTTATTGAGGTATAACTTATATACAGTGAAGTTAATTCTAGTATATAGTTCTTTGAGTTTTAGTAACCACCATTACAATCAAGATATATAACATCTCTTGCCACATTCTCATGCCCCTTTGTGGACAATCTCCTACTCTTACGCTTGGCCCTTGGAATTCACTGATCAATTTCTATGCCTGCAGCTTTACCTATTTCAGAAAGTTCTACAAATGGATTCATAGAGTGTGCAGCCCTTTGACTCAAAGCATTTTTCACACAGCCTAATGATTTTGGGATTTATCCATGTTGTGTGTATTACTAATCTGTTCTTTTTATTGCTGCCTAGTATTTCACTGTATGGATTTCCCACTTTTCTTTATCACTAGCTGAAAGATATTTGGATTGCTTCCAGTTTTTGACAGTTACAAATAAAGCTGCTGTAAACATTTGTGTACAAAACCCAGAGGCATTCTAATTTTGATTTAATCAATCCCATAATTCCACAATACTTCAATTAGATGTTTTACTGGCCTCCTCAATGTATCAAGTTGTGTATATATATATCTATATATATCTGTATATGTATATCTGTATGAATACACATACACACATATGTAAATAGCATGCATATCCATATACATCTGCTAAAAATAATGTAAAAAGATTAAAATATTTTTTATCATTAATTCTATAACATCTAGTCCAGGATCAGCAACAGCTAATCATTTGGGGTTTTGAGTTCATTCATTAGATTTTTTTTTCCTCAAACGTTCTTTTCCCAACTGATACTCACACGAAGAAGTAATGTTATAAATACTTCTCTTTGGTTTCACTCCATATCATATTCTTCTTATTTGCTAACCCCTGTGCCACTCTAGACTGAGGGCTGAGATGTTCAATCTTGATGAACATCAAGATTGAACATCTTGATGATTTACAGCTTCCTGTTGAAGTTTTTGTCAGCTAGGGGACTCTCTGGAAAAAAGTACTTTATTTTTACCCAGAAAACTATTGGCATATCTGGTACATTTCACCTTAAGTACTTTTCACTGAACACAAATCCAGGATTCCTATCTTTTCTAGATACTTAAAAAGAATGACATTGAAAAGTGCTATTATTGTCAGGCCAGCCAATTGGCTAGGATGAAGACAAAGGCTTTCCCATTGGTCATAAACCTAAGTACCTTTAGTTTTGCTCTAGAAGAACAAATGGCAATTGAGCTGAAATAAGCATACTTTATAAAATTCACATCTCGTGTGTGAAGATCACAGGACATAGACTCTAAGTTACTGTGAATGTCTTAACTGCTGGAAGTAGTTCCTTGGATTTGTCCCACCCGACCAGTACCCAGTGAATTATTTCCTGAATGCTTAATGGAGGGGGAGGATTCACCAGAAAGGAACATTTTCTTCTTCTTTTGTTTGTTTCTGTACCCAATCATTGGGTTCCTCTTATGCATTTTTGAGTGTTGGAGGGCAGAAACTCTGATTAGGAATGACTCAGACTTGATCTGAAGTGCTAAGGAAAAAAAGAAGAAGAAGAAGAACAATGATAATTGATTCTATCTATTCAACATTTGCTCCTTCCTTGCCTGATATTGTGCAGAGCATTGTGTATTACTTACAATATTTATTACTCACAACACCGACCCCATAAATTAGATACTATCACTTTCTTTACACAGATGAGAAAATTGAAGCTCACAGAAATACAATGGCTTACTTAAGATGGTGCAGCTAGTATTTTTCAGAGCCAGGACTGGAAATAATTGTATTTGACTTGCTGTTAACCATCACATTTAATTGCCTGTCAAGTCTGTCCAGTATCTCCATGACTTCCTTTTCTGTAGGTAACAGTGGAATTGATGTGACCTACATGCTGGACTGAATATTTTTATTTTATCTTACATTCTTATACATGGACATAGCCCCTACTATGACCTTCTATGGAGTCCATTTCTTTTCTATTCTGTATTTTTCCCCCAATGCTTTGCTTGAAAGGCATTTCATTAAACCCTAGATATTAAATAGATTTTGGATGAGAGATTCTTTTAGGTTAAATCATCACAAAGAACTTTCTTTTAGACACACAGCTGGCATTTGATTTCTGAAGCTACCATGGATTGAATGTTGAATTCAAAAGGAGCCAGAAAAGCTAAGGTAAAGTGTATAGACTGAGAGCTTTGATATGCCAGAAACCATGAAGGATATTTTGTAAAACTTTGATTGCTCTTCTCCATGTTTTCAGTACATTTTATTAATCCTATTTTACAGGTGAGGAAACAGAAACTCATGAAAATGAAGAAACTCATCTAAGGTTTCTCTGCAAATACATGGCGAGATCATGATACAGACTCTTGTTTCTCTTTTTAATTTTTCAATCTTTCCTTACATCAAGCTGTTTCCTGGATTAGAGAAGGGATATTGACTCTAACTTCTTTGTGGTAATATCATCAAAGGAGTGGCAGCATTTTGAAGCCAGCTCCCTAAGCATTCTGAAAGATTTATCTGTTTTCTGAGATGACAGAACACTGGGAACTGGATGTATTTTTAGTTTAGCTCAAGTGGAACAATATCAATGGGCTGTCTCAACAAAAGAAGCAAAATGGGCAGAAAAGAGCTGGTTGGGGAGAGGTAAGTCTTGATCTACCCAGGCAGTATCACTCCTGTTTAATCTGGAAATTACACCTGAAAATGTATTTTAAATGGATCAGGTTCTAAAATTAGCTAGTAAGTAGAATATAGCATAGAACCAAAATTATCCTTTAAAATTCCCTAAAAAGGAGAAATAAAGACTGAACAACTGTCTCAAGATTCCCCTTAGTCTGTTTATGCTTCAATATTGTAACAGATCGCTTTTTCTTCCGTTGATTATAAGATAAAGAATGTGTCTTTAGGGAAGGGGCCATCTTGCATTAATGTTACCTTTCTTGAAATGTCTGCAAGATGTGTACACCAGCAGAGGCATCATATTTCATTCTCCTAGCTCATACTCACTCTGGGCAAAGTCACCTGTACTGGTGCCATCTTTCTGCCTTGACCTATCACATTTTCTGAAAGGCTGCTGCTTAGGTATAGAATCATGTCTGCCAAATATGTGTCTCTGTGGGACAGACAGCAATGACAGGGCAAGCTGAAATCTACTTCCATAACTGTATTAATAAGGATCACTAGCAGGATAACACTCTAAAGAATGGAGACAGCAAAACATGATTTTCCTGCCTTAAATGTGTGGTACTGATTGGGAGATATCTTTCTACCTGCTTTATATTTACAGATACTTGATGAAAGGGAAGGAGATAGGATAAAAAAGAAAATCCAAAGGAGATGTTTTTCAGTCATTTAAAAAAATCTTATTGTTTAAAATATTTTCTTGTTTAAAAGAAAAAAATTATGGGCTATTATTTTTACTATTTACAAATTTACCCTCCCCCTCTTTTTTCTACTGAATTGGTTACTTTCACTTACACACACACACAAAAGGTATATACCGGTTGAGATTCTTAAATTATTTTGAATGCCTTTTTGGTAATCTTTATATTAACTATTAATGTCTCAATTAAAATGCCGCCAGGAGTTCACTAAGTTTATAAAACCAGAATATATATTCAAAATAAAGTGGACCTGGGATTGAACACCTTGGATCTCCTTCAGCTATGTGATAGGATCAGCTGTGTGAATTTGGCCCATTCTTTTTGGCTCTCTGGACCTTAGTTTATTTATGAACAAAATGAGCATTTTAAACCAAATGACTCCTAGATTCCTTTCTAGGTATAACAAACATTCTCTGTACTGGTGATAATGACCAACATTTTGAAGTTTGGGGATATATGTTTCACATCACATTTGAACATGCCATGTTTTTTAAAGTAGTGTTTTAAAAATGGTTCGTAAATATTTTCTCCACACCCTGCTTGCAGAATTGCTTTAGGGCAGATCTCTCAAATGACGCCCAGATGGGAAAAGAGAAGGGGAAGGGAGATTTGAGCTTGAAAATAACTATCACTTCACAGATTGTCAGCAGTTATCTCTCCGTGGGCCATGAACACAGGCAAGAGAAAAATTGTAGAGCAAAATTTAAACCAAATATTGGGTAGAATTTCCTGGCTCCAGAAGTGGGGTGAGGATACAAAAAGATTATTTTTAAAAACCTCTCTGCCCTGAATTTTCAAAAGTGAATTCCTTAGAATGTTAACAGGTAATCCCACCTATATTTAGTTTTGGTTTGACCCAAGGATAATTTATAATCAAACACATTTGAGAATTGGAGCTATACTCTTTCTTTATTGCATGACTTCCTGGAGATTTTAATATGTTAATGCACATTTTGACTCCCCAAAAAGAAGAAAGATCCCAAGGAACTTAGAATTTCCAAAACTTACTCAGTCATGGAATGTTTTCCAAAACAGGCTTCTCAAAACATGGGTGTCTTGGAACATAGTTTGGGAAAGTTGGTTTCAGCTGTCCAGTATTAATGAATATAGAAAGTTTGATTTCTTGAATCTATGATAGTTGGAAAGAAAAATATGATCTAAGTGCGTAGCTATTTTGTTTCTTTGTTGTTTTTTTTTTTTTTTAACTTTTTAAATATACCCATTTGCAACATCTAAGTCTTGGGTGAGTTTTTGAAAACAAGCATGTATACCAGTGTCAGGAATGAGGATAAGAGAGGACAGTGGGGCAGCAGAAATATTAGGATTCTAATCTATTGATAATAAAGCTCCAGGTTCATCCCATCATAGATTTCATGGTGCCCCCAGAGACATGTGGTCCTTAAAAATTGTGTACCACTTATTTAGGACAATCTTTTTCCAATGGGTGACAGCTTGGGCTACAATCAGCTTCAAAGGTCTCTTAAGGTCTCCAATGGTGTAATCTGTGTTGCATTTAACAGGAACCTTTTTCCCCAGATGGTCATTGCAAACAACCTCTATCATCCTGGCTAAAGCTCACATGGCCTTGATTCTGCTGATGCTACAAGCTCCTCACCTAAGCGCTGAACCTAGGTAGCAGTTGACACTGGGAACCACAAGCTGGGTGACTACTTTGAGACATCAATGATTTGAAACATTGGTGGCCTATCATTATTGCCTCCTTCCAATTAATTCACTAAAGAAGTTCAGGTGACCTTCTCTAAAGGTAAATCTGATCCTCTTACATGCTACCTAGACATCACTGCCTCATTGCTTAGAAATGTTCTTTGGGCCCGGTATGGTGGCTCAGGCCTATAATCCCAGGACTTTCGGAGGCTGAGATGGGTGGATCACCTGAGGTCAGGAGTTTGAGACCAGCCAGGCCAACCTGGTGAAACCCCATCTCTACTAAAAATACAAAAAGTTAGCCGGATGTGGTGGTAGACGCCTGTAATCCCAGCTGCTCGGGAGACTGAGGCGGGAGAATTGCTTGAACCTGGGAGGCAGAGATTGCAGTGAGCTGAGATTGAGCCGTTGCACTCCATCCTGGGGCAACAAGAGCAAAACTACATCTGAAAACAAAAACAAAAACAGGTTCCTTGACTGGCTATTGCTCTTAAGGAAAACACCTTTAATAAGATCATCAGGGCCTTGTGGGGCCTGGCCTGCTCTACTCTCCAACCTGTTTTAACATCAGCCTACTTCACCCCCATATTAGTTTCCTGGGGCTGCTATAACAAATTGCCACAAACCAGGTGGCTAAAAACAGCACAAATGTATTTCCTCACAATTGTAAAGACTGGAAGTCCAAAATCAAGATGTTAGGAGGCCCATGCTCTCTCTGAAGCCCCTAGGGGCGGGGTCCTTCTTTGCCTCTTCCAGCATCCCCAGGTGTTCCTTGCTTGTGGAAGCACAGCTCAGACCTCTCTCTACATCTTCATGTGGCCATTTTTCCTCATGTGTCTCTACTTCCTTTTCTTATAAAGGCAATAGTCATATTGAATTAAGGGCCCACCCTGCTCCAGCATGATCTCATCTTCATCAGTTCTATGTGTAATGACACTGTGTTCATGTAAGGTCACATTCTGAAGTACTGGCAGTTAGGACTTGAACATATCTTTTTAGAGGGATACAGTTCAACTCGTAACAACACACTTGCTCTCTCCTATAGGTAGGATTCTTCATCAACTTCTTGAATTACCTAGATCCTCCACTACCACAGTCCCACCTAAGACCTTTGCAAATACTCTTGGAGTGATTTTTTTTTTTTTTTTTTTTT